TGCACAGATTCCACATCTTACCTTCTCAGCATGGAATGGAGCCCATGGAGGTGCTGAGCTTTTATTTCTAACAGCTATCTTCAGGAAGACCAATTTGATCAAAATTCAGGAATCTCCAATAAAATTGTGGTCTTTGATTTTTTCAGACTTCACAATAAGGGTTTTGATCCTGATAGGGAGGCTTTTTGTCTGCCTTTTTTTTTTAAAAAATTGATTTTATTGTCGTATAGGTACTCCTCGTTTAGCAACTGCCTCAAACAGTGACTGAGCACAGTTATGATGCTGATGAAAAAGTAACTTTGTGACCAATCCTCACATTTTTGACCTTTGCAGGTCTGTCAAGCAAAGGAAAGCTGAAGTAAAATCATAAGCACAGTCGTGGTTTCACTTAGAGACTGCTTTGTTTAATGATTGAATTGGTGGTCCCAGTTGTGGTCACTAAACAAGGACTACCTGTATTTGCAGTCTTCTTTTGTCATTATAGCAGTCCTATATTTTACTGTATTGCTGTGCTAGAAATACTCTGATCATACTGATAACACCCATAAAGCTCTCCCAGGTGGCCACATTAAAGTACAATGTGGCAGTCCTTGAGCTACCAGAAAAGTATGCTGTCATGAATTATTCTATCTCTAGAAGTTGTGCAGTATTGTTTTGGTGTTGCTAGTTTAGGGTAGGCGAAGAAAGTAAAGAGGTAAGAGGTCTAGCTCATCAGCTCTTATGCCTGACATCCCCTGTACACCCTCTAACTGGAGACTCCATCCAGGACCTCGCTTTGATTCCCCAGCACATATGTACAAGACGATGGACCCCGAGACAGAGCGCACTATGGACTTCTACAGTGAGACACGGGTGGATGGCCTTCAGAAGCGCACAGAAACTTCCCAAGAGATGGCAGAATATTTTGAAGGTCGCTCAGATTTCCTGAACTACCGGCACACTGAGTTTGGCAAAAGAATCAAGAAGCCTACCAAGATTCTGGCCAGCACTGAAACCAATGCCCGGCCGATTTTGGTAAGAATGGCCCATTGGCATTATTTGGTTGATGTCCCATAGTCCTTCAGAGACAAGGGAAGCCCCCAGTAGGAACCTTTTTGGAAGGGTTTTGTTGTTGTTCTTGTTATTATTGTCATAGATTTCTGGATCCTTCTAAGTGGATTGCTGTGAATATGCAAGTTTATTCTAAGCAGATTCAACCCACAATAGAGATGGTACTGTGAACAGTAGCATCTTACCTGCTCCTGTTGAAGTTCCACACAAGAATCTAAGTTACCCTCTCCCATCCATCTCACCAAGCTTACTTGCCCTCTCTATATATGTGTGGCCTCTTCCTCTTCCCCATCTTCATGAAGATTTTCGGTCTTGCTTCTCCTATTCACCCTCTTGCATGGACACACTGGTCTTATGTTCTTTTTTAACTCCAGACCAGTGGTTCTCAACCTTAGCCACTTTAAGATAAGTGAAGTCCACTCATCTTAAAGTTGCCAAGGTTGAGAAACACTGCTCCAGACCCACTGGAGCTCTCTATCTGCTGCCAGCCTTTGCCTGAGTTCAGCTGCTCTCCACATCCCACTATTCCTGTTTAGCAGCTTTTTACACATACTCCTGTGTACATGGTAGCTTCTTACTTGTCTACTACTTACAGTCTCTGTTTAGTCCATCTTCTTTCCCTTGATATGCAGAAGATATTTCTGACCCCCTGCCAAGTGATCCTTTCCTTCCACAGAAACTAGTCACTGATGAAACAATGCTCTTGTATTTTCAAGAAGACTCATATACAGTCAACAAAGCCTAATTACTGATGTGCCAAAATACCAGCATAGCTCTCAAGTTCTCTATAACTCACTCGTTGACCATTCCAACCAACTCACTATAAATATGATGGTCTGGAGTTTGATTCCACTCTAGTTTTATCTCCTCTTCCTCTTGTGTACTTTCTAGAAAATCACTGAGAGGTTCCACAGGAACCCAAGCAAACCAGCTGATGAAGATGTGGCCGAACGCATTTTTTCGATGGTAGAGGATAAGATCTTTTTGACCTATCATTGCAAGAAGAATTACATCACCCCTTCCAAGAGGGAGTTTAACAAGCATACAGATGTGGACAGCAAGGGAAATAAGGTTGTCATGAGCCGGGATATGTGCATCAGTTATCAGGTGAATGAAGAATGTGGCATCTGCAGGTCATGGTGGATCCAAACTGTCATTGGGGGAGGGATTTAAATGAATACTTGCAGGACATAAACATAGAAGCAGTGGAGGCTTCATTCTGGTTGAGCATCAGGCACTTAGAACCAGTGAGCAGAATTCTCTTCAGCAGATAATGTGGGTTGGTGGAACTAGGGAGCTCTAAATTGAGCCACCAAGAGTTCTGATAGACTACAGTATCTGTGATTACCTCCTGCCCTGGAGACCATAGGATTGTAAAACAATGGAATGAATTCAAATCAGTTGACAGAATTTAATGCAATCACCTTTTTGAGGCTCTGGGGCAGATATGTATAGATAGACCATAATTTACAATTCATATATGTTTCTTCTCTTTACCACCACCAAGTCTGATGTTTCCTGTTTAAGAAAACAACAGTAAAGTATGTGTTGGGTTCTATGTATCTAGCAGTTAACTACTCATCTCTGCCATAGCTCAGGGAGTATGCTATTAGACATGACCTGATAACCTCATATATTGTTCCTTCCATTTGTCGTCTTTATGGGTAACTAAAGAGGGTGATGTGCCTGTTCACATTTTCTAAAAAAAAAATCTTCAAAAGTAGGCCAAAACATGCTTTCTTCCTCTGCATTATCTCAATATTGATCCAACTTGACCCAGATGTTGGGTATGAGTCAGGCTGAGATAAAACAAGCTTTGCAAGAATGGGCCAGGAAAGCTCACGTCCCTATAGAAGAGATCATAAAACGGCCCCTTTGTTGCAGATACCAAATAATGTCTCATTTCCTGCTCGGATTGGGGAGCTTTTGAGCCAAATGTCTTTAAATCTGAAAGGTCCCAACAGCCTGCATGCAGACCCCAAAAGCCTTGAGTGCAACCACCAAAGATTTCCCAAAGTCATGGCAAACATTATTTATACTATTTATTTCTTATTAATTGTCCTAATCTCACAGGACTCTAGGCAGTGCTAGAATAGGAGGGGAAATTAATTAAACCCATAATTGGGAAGTAATTAGAATTACTAACTACCAGCTAGTTTCAATTTCTAAATGTGACTCAATCTAAATAAAAAGGAAAGGAAGCAAAATCTGGGTTTTCCCCTGTACTACTTTTTGAAATACTACCTTTGGCATTTGATTCAGAAAGGATTATTAGTTGGAAGATTACCCCTAAAGAAATAATCCCTAAGCGAAATAACTTGCTGAAAGAAAGGAACACTGACAGAAGGGGACCTGCTGGCCACCTCCAGATAAAATACTCAACCTAGTTACTGTAATAACTTATTTTCTGGGTTCATAGACCAAACTAACCAAACCTCGGGGTTTGTACAACATGCTCAACTAAAAGAGTGGTAGCAACACCAACACATCATCAGGTTCGTGAAGTCCTGCAGCAGACTTCATTAATGCCCATGCCAATGTTAGAGGCGCTTTCAGCTTTGAAAAATGTTCAGAAATGTCCTTGGCCCAGTTCTTGAAGGGAAAATGCTACTTCCTTTCTCCTAAACTATCTTCCGGATGAGAAGGCAGCTCCACGTCCAATACCACAAAACTCTGTTGGCTTTGAAAATATATCATGTGCCACAAGAACTTAGAGTTGGTTGTGTTTGCAGCGGCCTCTAAGTCCTGTAAAATATAATAAAAATAACGACCCTGTATGCAGAATATACATTTTATGATCATATGGATATAAATACGGGGATCATTTATGGAAATGTTTTTAAAACACACACACAGAGGGAAGGATGCAGAAGGAGAAAGCAGTCAGACCAATGATCTCCAGAGGACTGAGTAAATTGTTCTGCCCATCAGTAAATGGCTGACTTGTTTCTGAATGCTCAAATCTACTTTATGGTTCATTTGTTCTCAGTCAGGGCCTGTGGAGAAAAAAAAGAAATTGTTCCATCTCTATGAAATGATGATGCAGCTAATTGAAGATGAGAAACATTCCCGGCACCAAGTGTGGGAATCCGAGATAGAGGTACCTGTGGGGGAGATATTTCATGGCTGAAGAGACGGGGCCCGGAGTCATGCATTGTGATAAGCTGCCGTGGTCTGGTTTGCATATAATGCTGGGTTGAAATTAAGCAAATGGCCTTGTAGCTAAGCATATGCTCAGCCTGCCTTTGCTTGCTAGATGCTTGCTTTTCTCTGACTTCACACATGCTTTGGATAAGTGTCCAAATGAGACTAGAAATGAGAGAGCTGCTGAAGAATGAATGTATTGTGAATTTGTGGCAGAATGACCTTGTAAGTGTGGTGGATCATTTCTTCCTTAAACCAGTGTTCCTCAACCTTGGCAACTTGAAGACGTGTGGGCCACATTGCCAAGGTTGAGGAACATTCCCTTAGACTATGCCATGAGGGACACGTTGCAGGATATGATGGAGACAGGCAAGACTACATCAGTTTCAGGGTTTTTGTTCTTGTTTTTTCATTTGATTCAGAAGCAAAGAAGCGATTTGGATATAAGCCAAGCCTTATTAGAGCAGACGAATCTTTTGGTTTTTTTCAGCTATTTGTTTTGCATTGTTTGTGGGTGAGACGTCTTCCAGCTAATTATTTTACATTCTCTCCCCCTCCCCCCAAACCTTTCTCTAGGCAAACATAGCACAGCATAGCTATAGGCACTCTACACTTTTTTTTCCTCTGGATTTGCATTTTTTCTCAAAAACACTTAAACATGCAAATCTTAACACCACTGAATATAAGCCTAACGTATGTGCATTCCCAAGATATCTGCATCTGCACACACACACCCCACCTCTTATTGCTAATATTACTCCCATTAAGGCTTAGCAAATATTTGACATTTTACCCTCTGCACCCAGTGTGAAGATATGATCGGTGATTAGCTGATTAATTGGGTATGTATAAAATTTTTAGGAGGAAAAATAAGGTCATCTCACCACATGTTTTCATAACAATGCTTATCAGTCTTCTTTCCAGGGTCTTCTTTCCACAATGCTTATCAGTCTTCTTTCCTTTCAATGAATCTTGTCTCAGTCTCACCCAGCTTCCTATACATGCCAGTTAGATGTCAATTCATCTTAGGTTTGCCAGTCAACCATACTCTAGACTAGTGTTTCTCAACCTCAGTGACTTTAAGATGTGTGGACTTCAACTCCCAGAATTC